GGCCGTTGAAGAGGTAAAACATCTAGGCCATCTTCAATTCATCCCGATTTCAGAACAATCAGCCAACCATAGTTCTGATCGGAAAATGCAGGGAATAAAATCGATCTGCTTAGTAGCTAGTCTAGGTCTGTGTCGGGTGGTGGGAGAAGGGCTACGGTCCAACACCGCACTCCAATCTGGCGCGACGTGTTGGATTTGACATGCAGGTAATCCGGATAGTTGTTGTTTTTTCCTAATACGGATTTCAACTGTCAATTTCCAGACCACTCGTCGTCGTGCGTGAGGAAGATGATCCTGGTACGTGCATGATAGTGGGCCTCCTATCGGCCAATATTTATCTCCCAATCCAGCTGTACACGTAGTGTCGCGCCCCAAAGAGCGAGTCATAGGTGTTAAAGAGGGTGGTATTGACCGGCGGGTGTCGAGTATAAGGCAAAAGGACGAGAACGAGGTCCCGGGGTGTGGCATGCAGGAGTGTTCCCACTGAATCAAACGGTGGGCCTACCATGGCGGGACTCCTGACAAGTGGTTCGGGTGCCGGGGCGTTAGCTAGCCCCTCCATCAATGGCACAGAGTAGATCAATCGGCTTATGGAGATTTAAACCTGGGTACCTAACGAGCGGTGAGAGCGCAGGTACAAACTGCGTACAATAATCATTCTCACAGTCTCACTTTTATTTCCATTGTCGTCCTTTCCTTTTTTCCCATCTTCCCTGTTTCCATTTTGTCTTTATTTTTTTTTATTTTATTTTTTATTTAATTTTTTATTTAATTTTTTTTTCCTATTCTTATTTTCCCTATCTTTATTTTTTTCCATTTTTATTTCCATTTTTGTTTTTTCCATTTTTTTTTTTTTTTATTTTTTTCAATTTTATTTTTCCAACTTTATTTTTTCGATTTTTATTTTTTCGATTTTTAGTTTTTCGATTTTATTTTTTTCTATACCGTTTCAAATGGAAGATGCTGCTGAGGCCCTGCTTTGAATCTACTGTATGCGGATAATGTTGGATCTGGGCAACAGGCTACTTACTACGACTACTATAGAAGACGCCCAGGCAAGTGCCAGGGGGTCAATAGTAGTAGTAGGAGTAGTAGGAGGAGTAGGAGGAGTAGTAGTAGTTTGGATTACCCTAATTCAGCGCTGCCAGGGCGCTCTTGCAGGGCGCCTGCGGCCGGAGCGTGCCTCGGGCTGCGAAATCTAGCTATACAGGACCCTATTCCCACTCTGATAGTCCCTCGGAATCTTACAGTATCTCAGTGGGTCAATACCGCGGGATTGCTCATCCTCGTGATTGGCCCCGGGCACCTAACGGCATGACGAAGAAAATGAATACACCAGCAACAAGAGATGAAGAACGAAGAACAGCTCAATAGATTTACCTCTTCACCGCTCAGGCGCGATGGGCTGAGCCCAAGGCGTAATGGCAGGCTTCGCCCTGGCTGCACACGATTTGTGGTTAGTTCTGGATTTCAACAGGCCTTCAAATCAACACATCAACTTCTGTAGTTGTGGTGGGATAGCAGTCACCAAAGGACTCCAATCCCTGGCAGATTTCCATAAGAGAATGGAAAAAACTAACTGGCTGACCAGCGAAGATGACGTATCAAAAGGCAGCATTGATTAGATAACTGAAATGAACGCATGGTGCTGGCGCGATACGCATAGTACTTAAACCCAGGGATTTCCGAGTCTCAATCGCATCACACTTGTCTACCAAGTAGCGACTGGTCTATATCCAGAGTCTTTAATATGCCTGAGGCTCCTAACAACAGTCCCTTTTCAAGGGCGAGTCGAGGCTCATCGTTCGCTCCTTCAACAACCCATCCTCTCAGAGCACCGCTATTGACCGACGACGCTGACCTCAATATGGGTCACCAGGGCCATAATCCCTCTTATTTGACGGCACCTACAATCTTCTTCAATACCACAGCTCCAAATAGCAACCATGGGGATGTCCAAGTCCACACAGACCATCAGATCTTCTGGCCCAGCGATGGACCAGCAATGTACTTGGCGCCGCCGATGCCAGCAACAATTCCAGGTAGCATGCAGAGCAACACTCATAACCACCCCAATACAGACATTTATCAATTTCCCACCAACCTAGCACCGGAATCATATTTCGGGTCTTTCGGTAACGTGGATCATGCGAGTGTGGGGGTGGGATTACCAAACCCGGGCCCGGGATCGATGCTGCAGATGCAGGGGGATATTTCTGAGCCAAGGTATGTTATAAGTCTCGAGATCGCCTCATGACAGAGCCGACAAACCTCTAGACAAATTGGTTCATATTGTACGTGGCCGGGTTGCACATATACCCAGCCTTTCCGACGGCCAGGAGACCTGGCGAGACATAGGCGAACCATTCATGAAAACCCTCAAGCCTACCAGTGTCCAGAGTGTCGGCAGCGGTTCAACCGCAACGATAACATGCTTGAACATTGGCGGAGGGCTCATCACTGTCCGAATCTGGCAACGAGGCGTCACTAAAGGCTCGATTTTCCTTGCTGTCAGTGGCTGGCCTTCCATGACATTTGGGGGTGGGACGTTAGAGTATATTTTTTTTTCGTGATGTGTTTTCTTATCCTTTTCCTTACTTTTTGCGAACTTTGTCTAAAATTATTTGCGGGAATACCCTGGTGTTGTATACCACAGGCGGCGTTGTTCATTGCATGATAGAGTGCACTGCAGCTCTTCCGTTTTGCGGGCCTCCGACGCACGTTTTAGTTCCTACTTGCATCTGATTTTTTATTCATCCTCTTGGCTGTGGTTTTATTGAGCGCAATCTGTGGCCATAATAGTCTCATACGTCATGCGGGATTGTATTACCCATCTCAATACTGGTTTCGGGTTTCTTTGTATCTGGTTCTTTCGATGCGTGCACGTCTTTCATTATGGGGTGGGGTTGTTATAGAGTTGTCTTCATCACATAATTGCTGTCATTTTAGAGATGCCGACGATTAGTTGGCACATTCAAAATATAAGGACATATATTCTGGAATCAAACATGAGCGCATTTGTAGCTAGAGGTCTCTGGCTGCGAAGGCAACTCATTGACAGTTGGGAATGGGAAAGAGAGAGGCTGGCGGGGTTGAGATAGGAGAAATCTTTTTTCCGTGACTTGGACGCTCTTGGGCACATGACCAGCACTGCATAGGCTTGTAGCCACAGCCTCATAACTGTGATCTTTGTGGCTCGGACAAGACAGCTACCACCTATTCTTCACCTTGCATACTTTTACTTTCCAATAATTCTGACCTGGTCTACTGTGTTTTCAGTCCGTGGATAGAATGATACTTCGGCTAACAATACAGGAACTGCGGGAGGCCAATCACCCAATCATACAATAGAACGGTCTCGAGGACGATTCATTAGCTGGGACACATGTCACGTGTATGATGACAAAGAGTTTACAGTTTCTTGTCATTTTCTGTTCTTCTTGTCCATTATTTCGTCTTTTTCCTTAATGGGGATTATGTGTTTCTAAGAGTTATTTCTCCTCAGATCATGCTGAAAAGCGGTTAGTACCGGTTAGCTACCCATGAGATGTGGTTATCGCAGATTGACAGGTACTACCGGTGCCTTGCACTGATGTCAGGGATAGACCAACCAGTGTAAACAATGTTATTATATCGTCACAAACTACGGATGTATATCTGTAGATCTTATACCCAGAAAAACTAGTGCAAGGGCATCCAACCCGCTCAGTCAAATATCTCGAAATAAACTTCAGTTACACTTCCGCCTGCTGGAACAGGTCATTGGCACGGCACGACATATCGGATAGAAATCTAATTGGTCTGCCCATGTTGCTGGGTGGCTTGAAAAGTCCCGACGAAGGGCAAATGGACTCAGGGACATCTTAGCTCCGCACGGCGGTCCCCATCGATGCGGGGTCATTAAGCAACTAATTGGGGCTGGAGTTCAGGGTCGACCAACGGACTAACGTGCAGCCAAGGCTTCGAAGGAATAGGTAAGCCTCTAGCATGAATTTTGAACGACGAGAAGACTCCAGAAATGCAATTTTCTAACCAGTAGGTGTTGGAACCGTTGCATGGTCTAGCCCGCTATGTCCGTTGCGTCATGGCCATGGCTCCATAAGACGGGATGAGCTACGCCACGTCGGAGCCGATGCATGAGACATATTGTGCCTTGGGGGGGACCGCCGTTCACCGTCAAAAGTGCCCAGGACCCTGAACTAGACCGAATTTGTATTTAGCCTTCGTATCCCCAGAAGATGGGGTGGGTGCCTTATGAAAGCACTCGATTTAGCTGACCATGCTATGATGGAAACTAGATACATTAAATCGCAGCCAAATGACCAAGTGCCAATCCAAACAAATTAGATGGTCCAAAAGATCCGAAGAAATGGGTTTTAGATTAACTTGCTTTCTGATATCTCCGTACACAAAGATACGCCGAACCATATCGGCCACAGTGTCAAACCTTGAACACTCCTCTTCCCATCCATCACTGCAGCCGCTGGTAGTTGGGTATCATTTCTGAACCGTGGCGGTGCTTCTTCGGCCATGAAAGTTGCGTGGACCCGTGAGCCTCAGATGCAGCTTCCTTCGGTGCCCTGGCTACTGAGAGGGCTAGGGTGCCACTTCATAGGCCGTTCAGGTTACACCACCCACCTTTCCTTCGACTTGAGACAGCCCGCATCAACGTACACAACTCCCACTACTGAGCCCCGAGCAATGATTGGCTACTGCGGAGGTGGAAGAGAGGCCTGGAGTGGGAGGGGGTACCTTTTCCACCCACACTGGCCGAAGAAACCTCAGCTTCGGTCAGAGCAAGAACGTGAGGAGCTGATATCTGCCCTCTGTTGCTTCCAACTTCGTGAAAGTTACTAACTTCCACTCTTTCCGATCTAAAGCTCTCGCTTTGAGGTCTCCAGTACACTGATCGCAAAAACCAGAGAAGGTTCCGAAGCCGTGACCCGCGCGTCATGGACCAATTTCCCTTTCCTTGGGCTAGTACCCCCAATGCAAACACCATGCTCAGCACTTCTGCCGATGGCAACTATTTTGATGAGGCCCTCAGCGCTGAAAGGCTCACTGCGCCCCTCATCGCTGCTTCATCGAGTTGGTGTTATGGTGACATACCGATGTATCCGAATGGTGCTAGTGTGTCTTCCTTCCACTCAGCGCCCAGCTTGCAGCCAGAATCCAGCGTCTACCGACCAGCTACCTACCAGCCAGTATCTAGTAGCCAGTCCGCATCTAGCTACCAGCCAGAGCCTTGGTACCAGTCAACCCCAAACTTTCAGTCAGGGCCCAGCTACCAGCCAGCATCCTGTTTGCATCCAGCACTCAGCATCCACCCAGCTTCCAGCGTCTACCCAACACCCCCCTACCAGCCGGTGTCTAGTAGGCAGGCCGCATATAACTACCAGGCGGAGCCATGGTACCAGCCAAAAACGAGCCTTCAGACAGGGCTTAGCTTGCAGACAGGGCCTAGCTTTCCGACAGCGTCGGGTTTCCAGCCAGGGCCTAGCTTTCACCAGCCGGCAATGCAAGTAGCAAACCCAGCTTCCGTCCAGCACACAACAAGCCGTTATGCGAACTTGGGACCCCTCCAGCATCCTCTTAATGTTTTGCACACCCAGGAAGCCCAATACAATAGCAGTATGTCTGCACCGACCGTGGGAAACGCAGGCTTTGACTTCGGCTTGCCCTTGACTGGCAATGGCAATGCGAGAAGAGCCAGAACAAGGTATGCCACTCGAGATCGAGAAATTTGTGGTGCTTCCGAGACTGATTTTGGCAACAAATCAGACAGCAGCCTGACGTCCGATGCCATTGGAAGGATTGCAAATATAAGGCACCTTTCTACGGGAAGCCGGGATTAAAAAGGCATGTGCAGACACAGCACCTTAAACTTGGAAGGTATAAGTGTCCGAAGTGCTTCGAGGGGTTTGATCGTTCGGACTATCTGTCGCGTCATGATACGAATTGTAAAGGAATAGGTCATTTATCGAAAAGGTAAAGTCTCCTGATTTGAATTGGGTCAATGTCATCGTGTCGGTGGTTATTCATCTTTGGCAAAGACAGTCATGCTGCCTCACCTTCATAATGCTGTCCACCTCTCCTTTACCACCTGCTGCCGATTTGACCAGCTTTTGTTGGTGCCTCACGGGGTAGTCAGCGATCTCTGTCGGATCGGGATCAGTGATCGAAATTTGTCGCTGTCGAATGCCCATCTGTCGTTTATTATATGGAACGTTGAAAATAAGTAAGCTAACTTGCTCTCGCAACAGACCACGCAACGATGCTTCATAAGCTTGCTGAAATGCAATGAGTAACGATAACGAAAAAGAACAAAGGGGCATAGCGCCCTAATATTATGAATGACATGGGTTACACGGAGCAGTGGAAACTCAGAATCTCGTCCGATTTGTTACATGAGGTAGCACATGCCAGCGGGGTTAGACACCAAATATTTTCCGGTGCGAGTTTCGGAGGATATATGACACATTCACACATGAGCCACAGGAGTTTCTTATGTCTCAGGGTTTCCTTTTCCTCTTTTACTGTTCCCCGACAGCAAGTTGCTTAGTTAGATTGTCCTTGCCTTCTTGATTGTCGTTGACTGGAACAGGGAGTTGAATATCAAATTGATCGTTCATCTTGATTGACACTGAATATTTCCTTTGAATCATATGGGCGCTTATTTGCAATTTAAGGCGGTGTTTGAATGTATTTTTCCTGGGACGTGCTTCCAGGATATCAGCTCTTGAATAGTCAGATTTCTCGGTCGACAGACATTCAAACTTGTCAAGAAGACCTTGGGTGAGAAGATCTGTATCATCACGATGTGCCACGACTGATCTCTGTGTTATCAGGAAAGATACGATCGTGAAGCCTCCATGGCCATAGGCCAGCGAGCCCTTTCTAGAACGACACGAAGCCCTACATAGTGAACCGTGGAATCGTGGTGCCCATGTGGTTGAATAAGGAAGCCGCCTTTGCAACACTGGCCACTGTCACGTTGCAGGGCTGATCTTTGCTGCACAGTAGGGTTAATAAGTGGTCAATATGGATAAGGCGAGATGGTTAGTTCTCACACACAACCTTACCTCGATAACGCTGTCATCGTGGCGTACATGAATGTAAGGGGTAAGAGGGCTAACACGTCCAGAAACGTGCCGGATAACACATAGCCCCCAAACGCTTCTTGGTCATGGCATGGGAGCTCCAGTCTCGGAGAATAAGGCAGGTCCCTTCTTCTCTTTCTCTTCCCAGCCCCCTCTCTCACTATCTATTTTGCCTACTTAGCGCGACAGTCATTGAATAGGTATAGTCCTAAATTTGATTACACATAATATCCCCCATCGATCAAAATGATAAGCAACATACCCCAAGAAACCTTCCCGTCCCCAAGTCTAATTATCAGCATGCCACAAAGTGGACCGCGCTAAAGATCCTTCACGGTCTCGACCGAGCCAAACTCCCGAACCGAACCAACAAGACAGATAAGACTCCCTTAGGGTACACGGGAAGCTTCCCCTTGCCCTGATTGACACGGAGGTGCTACATGGGGCTTAGTTTCCGCGAATGTGAGGTCTGAGCGGACATTGGCTTTTGTCTAAGCGAGCTTACTACTGAGATTGGCATTGGGCATCGGGGAGTCGATAGGGTTCGTCACGGTTGTAGCCGAAGGGTCTGGGCCTCGGTTAGAATTGGTGTCTGTGGTATTTTCACGGAGGGGGATATGCAAGGTACGATTGTCTGTGCGTTGTTGTCTTTTACGAAAGAGTCGAGGGAGGAGCATGGACAGTGGACAGATGAGGATGGATTCGTAGACAGATGGCTGGTCAGCTGGTACATTGGGTCGTATCTCTATCTTTTTCTGTAGGACTATGATTTGCGTTGACTATTTGGATGTATTTAGCTACAGCGAAACAACATCCCTGTGTCTATGCAAGCGTTATTTGGTGCGTTTGGGCGAAAAGAGGGATTGCGGCGTTCCGTGCCATTCTCTTTGCTTCAAAAGGTGAAGCACCTACGTATGTAGCATCTTACTTCACGGGCTAGAGCAAATATCGGGATACAAATTACAAGGAATTGAAATAATGAGACTTAAAATGGTGATGTAGAGGATAGTAAAGTAATAAAATCATAAACACATTTTCAGCTATAGATACAGTTACGTCCCTAACAAGACCCGACCTTTTCATACAGCAACTGAAGAAGTGAAGTATTTACACAATCAAAGCATGAGAATACCCTACTCAAGGTACTCGTTGGGCATGTACAGAGGCATCGAATCCTCCCAGATAGTATCCGTCACAAGGGTCTTGTTGGTACCATCGTAGTTCATGACCATGATCTGGCCGTACGGTTGGAAAGTGTCGTCGAAGAGAGCGCTCTCATCCTTGAAGCCGTACATACCGGTGCTCCACATGATACGGCCGTCCTGAGACCACACAGCGCTGTATATTTCATTAGCTTATGAGTGAGTGATAAGAGATAGGAGAGAAACATACTGAGCATCGTTAGACAGACTGTCAGTGACGCGGGTCAACTCGGATCCGTCAGGGCGGATGGTGTAGATATCGAAGCGATCGGCGTACCAGCGAGCGCCGTAGGACTCAGTCCAGTTGTTGTTGCGGGTGAAGACAATGCGCTCGCCGTCGGGGGACCAGCCGGGGGTGTTGTCCCAGCCGTCAGTGAGCTGGTGGGTCTTGCCGGTGGTGAAGTTCAGGATGTGCAGACCCAAGGGGGCCTCAGTAGCAAGGCTCCACTTGCGGTACACGATGGCGGTTCCATCGGGAGACCAGGAGGGGAAACCAGAGTTGTCGGATCCATCAGTCAGGTTGGTGTGCCAGGTACCGTTGGCGAAGGTGCGGTAGATCTTGGCGGTGTTTGTGCTGCGGCTGACGAACCAGGCACCAAAGCCAGACACCAGCTCCGTGCCGTCGGGGTTCCAGGAGGGCTGGAAGGCACCAGAGTTACCTTCCAGGAGCCACTCGACCTCGGTGGAGTTGCTGATGTTGTAGATGTCGTAGGAGTCGAGAGCATCAACTACGTCGGTATACAGAGGGGAAGAGTGGACCAAAGAGCCGTTTGCGCTGCCGAGGACCTTCTGAGTGGACGAAATACGGTTCACGACGGTGTTGTGCATGGGGAAAACATCCATGTAGCGATATTCCCATTCGTTGTCGTAGCTCCAGAGCTCCAGGTCGGCAGCCTGCTGAGTCCAGTTGGGGATCCAGTAGACCAGCTTGGAGCCATCAGGGGACCACCAGGGATCGCGAAGGTTGGTCAGGTTGAAGTTCTGGTGGCTGAAGTCAGGTTTGGTGTAGTGAATACCCTCGTCTCCGGCCTTGACCAAGTAGCCAATGTTGGTCGAGTTGCCAATGTAGTGCTGGCCGACCTTAGGGTAGCTACCGGAGGTGTGAGCAATGACATTGGAGCCAGTAGCAAAGTCTACGCTGTAGATCTGTGCGGTGACAGCCTCCTGCTGAGCAGAAACACCATGGCAGCCGTAGGTGTTCTCAGTAGTCATGTTGTTGTAGATGATGCGCTTGCCATCGGGCGAGAACTGGGGGGTACCCAGCGAGTAGCCATCCTGGCGGATAACGGTGCGGAAGTCACTGCCATCAGGGCGGACGGCGTACACGCCCAGAGTCTGGGTGTGCTCCCAGCCGGTACCATCGCTGTGGCCGGTCCAGTCGGTGTTGCGGTCAGAACTGAAGACAATCCACTCTCCGTCGGGAGACCAGGAGGGGCGGAAGTGACCAGTGGGCCAGGTGTTGTCGGCTCTGTTAGCCTCGGTATCGGTCAAGTTCTGGGCCTGTCCAGAGGTGAGGTCCTTGACCCAGATGTTGGTGGTGTAGTTGCCCTGAGTAGAAACGTAGGCCAGCTTGTTTCCATTGGGAGACAGAACACCGATGTCTTCAACAGAGTCCGTGGCCGCAAGTGTCTCCAGTCCCGAACCATCCACGCGAACACGGTACAGGTCCGACTGACCCGGACCGCGGCGCTCGCTGGTGAAGACAATCCACTCTCCATCAGGAGACCATGTAGGGTGGTAGTCAAAAGCATTGGTCTGGTTGCCCATGAGCTGAGTCGCGTTGGTGCCGTCGGCATTCGAGATCCATAACTGTCCTCCGGAAGGTCCAATGCGGTTCACTTGAGTCCGTAAGTACGTGAATCACTAGGGTCAATCAGGCAATCACTTACTGTAAAAGATACCCTTCTTGCCCTCAATCGGGCCCCGACGGGCCAGCCCGGGGGTTTCTTTCGTAGAAGCAGCAGCGGCGCGCTTAGCATAGGGACAGCCCGCAGGAGCAGCAGCAGCAGCGTTATTGGCGCGCTCCGCGTACGGGCAGCCAGCAGCGGCCGAGCCGGCCACCAGGCCAGCCAAAGCAAAAGCAGCAGAAATACGCATGTCGCCTACCCAGTCAAAGCTGGAAAAAAATAATAGTAGATGCGACTTGGCGAGAGACTGTTGTGAGAGACAATGTTCTTGTAGGACCTGAGAGGGAGGGATCTGCACCTTTAAGTATTGCTAGAACGGCGGGGGAACCATCCTTCATCTCGGCTACTTGGACCGTGACAAACTCGGGGGTAGGCAGACTAACAAGCAAAGCTTGCCAAGCCTCACCCTCCTCCAAGGTGTGGATTGGCTGGGCCCATCAGATAGGCGTAATTCGAATTCTAATCTATCCAAGTGGATCGGATCAACTTATCAATCAATAATGGAATCCGCTGGAGAAAACGCGGAAGAAATCTATTCCAGTCCTGCAAATCTTGCAGAATTGGGTCAACACTTGTTGGTAGTTGGGATCGTGGTATAGCTATGATCATATCGAGGGCCAATCAGCCCTGATCTATAGGAGTCGTA